CCGTCGCTCTTAATACAGTGGTTGGTGAACACTCGTCACAAATCTGTAGCTTTCGAAATTACCTTCATCATCTCCTGTAACTTATTTACCCATAGTGGAGAATTACAATACCATATATCGTCGTCGAATCCTGCGTTGTCCCGTGTTTTTTGAAACAGATGGCAATTACCCGGGTGCACTGCAATTTTGTCAGCTGCCGCTACACCGGTTATTATTGGTGGCATACATTTTTGCCTGTGACTCATAGTTTTTTGCATTTTTATGTCATTGAATCCCTCAATTATATCTTGTACTTAAAGATCATGTTTTCTTTGTTGGAAGTTCGCAATCCATCTCAAAGTAACAACATTGAGAACATAGCGTTCTGGCGTTCGTGTAGGCACCTCACGGTGTTGAGGGACGGTGGTTTAGGTTTGTGTGGCGAACGACAATCACCCAACGACGGACGCTCACAACTTGGATCCCACCATTAACAAAAAGCAATATTATAGTTATATAACTTTTCAGATGTTTTTAATTCAGTATTTTTTTCAATATTCTTCCAAAATTCAACCACTATATTTCCCTAAAAATCAAATAATACCGGTTTTATGTATTTCCGTATTAAACCTGTAGTCAATTCATGTTCCAGGGCCACTTGGTTTAGCCGTGCATTATCAGCCAATATACCATGGATTGCATATGCAAATTTTGTGTTTGGGCCAATCAAATCAATGGATTAACACCATCAATATACTGGTATAATATAATTTTAGATAAATACAGTAGATTTGTACAATATATCCGGGTAGTGACTATTTAGTTGCATCGCAAACGAAGCTATCATACCACAGTCTACAAACACAAGGCAGTAGGAGCACGTTTCAGATTCACCAGTAAGTTAAGCCATTTTAACGTTATTTAAGGAGCTGATTGTATGTACCATGTTTTCACCACAGATAGATGTCGGAGAATATTTTTGAAATTTGTGTTAAAAACAAAATTCTGCGAGTTTGCTTTGACATCCTATATATTTAGGGACCTTGGCTGAACCTCAAGTAGTTAATTTCGCTAAGATATTTTGAAATTGTTTCGGGGGTAAAACCAATATACATATGCTGGAATCAGTCCTCCAAAAAGTGTGATACTAGTAGTTAAGGATGGACTATAGGGACGACCATGAGGGCGCTGTTCATATTGGGATGCGATGACGTCATAGGGATGGATGACGTCACAATGGGAGGCTGTGCTTAGCATAAATAATGACGTCACAATGGGAATTCGTGCATAAATTAACATAAATGAGGACCAATGCTGTAAAGGGGATCATTTGAATGAGGATGACGTCACAATGGGATATTGTGAATACATTTGCATAATAATAATAATAATAATAAGTATGCACTTATATAGCGCCATATATCCAAAATAAATGTTCATAGGCGCTTTACAAGACAAAAAATAAATAAAAATATAATAAAATTGATGTGAATACGAGGTCGTGTCGAGGTCATCGTGAATATATTTGCATAAATTACCATCAATTTTTTTTTTAATTATTTTTTTTTAATTATTTTTAATTATTTTTAATTATTTTTAATTATTTTTTTTTAATTGGACAGGCGTGGACGAAAGATTTTTCAGAATGTGTCGTAGAGGGCGCTCACACACACAAACACACACACACACACTAATAAATACACGTCATTTTGAAAACTAACGGAGTTTATTACACAAAGAAGGGGAAATCTACTAATGAGTAAATAATCAAAAAATGGATTAAAACTGAGTAATTGAATTGACTATATAGAAAGTATACATTTTTGTTTTTGTTTTGTTTTTGTTTTTTTGTTTTTTTTTGTTTGAGTAAATAATCAAAAAAGAATGGATTAAAAAACTGATTAATATTAATATAGTTTTCGATATATCTGTTCACATAAAGATCATTCAAATGTCTATCACGCGTAAAAGAGTCGGCTACGGAGTTCACAGGTTTCCATCGTCATCTGCGCAACAAATAGGGTTAGGGATCGGTAGAAAACTCACTGAGTGTCTTTCACTATACTACGGAGAATGATTGACATTCTTATTCTATATATGCTGTTGTATAATGTCAAGGAGTTGGGAATCCATTTCACGAGTTGATAGCGTAATTTCACAGGAATCTAAACACAGTTCAGGGTTAGATTTATACCTTTTAAACAGAATACATGTATAACGCTTGGAAAATTTTCCAACCAAATCTGGGTAAATGCGTTGAAATGCGTCATAACACATGGCAATTTTACCAATATCAATCTCAGATAAAGCTTGGTCAATAAAAAAGTGGATTTCATCGATCCGGCTATTTTTATCGGCGAATCCATAGGATAGACACCAATGTTGGAGTTGTGACGGGTGGTCTACTTCACACGCGGGACAATTAGTTTGGATGATGCAACGTACGTGTCTACAAACGAATTCAGCGACAAGTTTTTTGGAAACAAGTTTATCCAGTGGTTTCCTCAGACTGCTGCCTGTGAAAAAATACAAAAACAAACAAACTGTAAATGACTATTTCTTTGATTTACCATTTCAGGCATATTCAGTGGGTTTTAAATTCACGGTTTTATCATTTTAATACATAAAATGTTCTATGCATTAGAAGTCGGGAAATGAGCAACGAATATTTGGATTTTTAAATGAAAACGAACATACCTGATAGCCCGGTTGATTTGAGGGATAATATCATTCAATATTCTGAACTGGTTCGTCCGTAAGGATACACCGCGTTTTGTTGGGTGACCATTATAGTGCTCGCGAATGTGAACATAAGTTTGCCCGCAAAAAGTATTCACTGTGACAAACAATTGCTTGACTGGGCAAAGCAAATATGTAAAAATGTCGGTCTCACCTCTCGGTGGAGCTGGCGACGGACGCGTTGTGCCACTTTTAGCTAGTGCATTCGTGACTTTGCGTCGTTTAATACGGCGAGTTGAATTTTCAGAAACATCGGGCTGTGCTGTAGCTGGAGTAGACATTCCAGGAGTCGCGTCCTGTAGGAGACTGCCTGATAATTCATTGAGGCAGGTGCTGAACTGGTTCGAAGCCATGTTGCGAGTACGCTCGTCAGTGATAAAATGATTCGCAATACTATCATCTCGTGTTAAAAAAATCCCCCTTTCTGTTGCCCCGGATGTTTACATCATGTCAGCATTTTTCCCAACCAAATCAAATATATTTATAGATTTATCACACACACACACACACACACACACACACACACACGCACACACACACACACACACACATACTTGTATTGCAATATGTTCCGAGGACTCCATTGGATTAACTTTTAATATAGTTGAATTAACTTTTAATATAGTTGCGATATGAACTCGATTAAAACGTGTTCCTATATAGGGTTGCGTTTTAATTGGAGTTTAATTAAACTCAATTACAATGCATACAATGGAGAATTGCATTTTAATTAAGTTTAATTAAACAAGAGTTGAATATCCGGTGACTGAACATAGAAATGTT